CAGTGGCGGCTGACACAGAAGAACTAGAGGGACTTGCACCTAGAATATACAACTACATACTGGGGCTTTGAGAAGAAAAAAAAAAGTGAGGAAGATTAACCAAAGATGTTAGCTCAGAGCAAATCTTTCAAAAAATAGCATTAAAAGTAAAGGACAGACTAAAGTCTCAAGAAAAGATTGCATTTTCCAGAGAAATAAAAGTCTTAAAGCATAAGAAATGGAAAATATGCATTAGAAACTATGTTTTTAATCAGACAAAAGATATTTCAGGTGTCTTAAATATTTACCAAAGCTTAATGGCAATGAAGAAGAAAAATGTTCAAATCAAAAGGAGCATTCAAATTTTTCTGTTCTTTCTCTCTCCCCTCAAATATTGTCACAAACTCTAAATTGAGAATAACTTTTACTTGTTTAATTTAGTGACAGAGATACAACTTTTAGGTACCGAGGACCTCAAAAACAGGAGGATAAATATAGTATTGACTAGAGAAAAATAGAATTGATGAAAAATAAAGGAAAGTTGATTTCTAGAAATTACTCTAAGGACGAACCCCAATTACATTTGCAGCTTCAGAATATCCACTATTGGCCACCAATTTCTAAAGAATATTGACTGCTTTCTTCTTTCTCTTCATGGTTGGTTGTGATCACAGGAAGGAGTATACATGTCAGTGTAGATTCTCATGAATGTGTATTGTGTCTATTGCCATCTGTCCTTTTGTCAGGGATGAACTTTTGAAATCCTATAGGACTGTTCCTGTGTGTAAGATTTCTAGAATGGGTGTATGTCAGTCAGAAATCTGAAACTTTAAAACTGTAATTATGAGATCACAAATTCAAATCAATTTGTATGATATGTTTACTTAAAATTGTTAGAGAAGATTGTCTTTTTGTTCCAAATGGTGTCCTAGGTTAAGGTTAGTAGTGGGCCAGGCTCTATTCCTAATGATTATTTTCTTCCTTCTTAATTTGAAGAGTTTTCAGTGCCCTGGCGTCTCATTGTAGTGACTCTTGGGATCTTCTGTTTACTTCTTTTGGTGACAGCCAGAGTGTTGGGGACAAAGAGTGAGTAATTGAAATATATCCTTCAAGTCTGAGTAACAGCAGTAAGCACTAACTGTGCAGATATTAACCAGGATCCAACAACTGTTCCTCAGCCGTAATCTGAGAATGTTCCAGATGGATCTTTTTTGGTGATTTTTCCTCAGACACATCACAGTGTCATTTTCATTTTACTTATCTATCCCAATGACTGTGTCAGTAATGAGCTTTCTCATTCTGTATAATACATGGTAACATTCCTTCTGATACAGGACTTAGTAATATTCTGCCTTCGGAGTTTAGATCGTTGTGAATTTTAGATAGACATTCGTTGAGAAACAACTGTTCAAAGGAAATTATGACTTTCTCTTGACTTTTTCTAAGTATACAGTGAAGGAATGGTTTAGCAAAAAGAGTGACCCTATGCATGGATGTTAGATGATCTTGAATTCAACATTTGTCTTTTATTTGAATTCCTTGACATCTTTAGAGAAAATCACTGGTATGTTACACTCAGATAAAATTACATATTTGAATCTTCCTCTCTTTTCTCCTGTGGATATTCCAACTACTCAAATAATAATAGTGCTATCTCTTCAGGTTTGTTAGTGCAGATTTTCATACTCAGAAGATAGGTCACTAAATGTTGATTGACTGATTTTTACATTGGTACCTATTTGTAAATGATGTGCTAACTGTCAAAAAGAAACTAAACTGAATAGCAGGGTGTTACCATTATAAGTTTATGCAGATAGCTTATTTTATTAATTCTATACTTAAGTTGCTAATAGTGAGAATTTTGATGTTTCTATTTCTGTGGTCAGTTTATTGAGGTGTTACTTTATAAATGTCAAATT